AGCAATCGTATAAATACTCGGCATTTCCTTCTCTCAATCGTAGGTCGTCCAGTAAATATGTGTGGATTGCCCCTTCATATGTGTATCTCGCCAGGATGCATAAATTTTTGTACCCTGACACGTCGGTGCTTTCATCTACTAAAATTGAAAACAATGTATTCCTCAATATTTCACTGACATTGCTCACGATGGCTTCATTGATGACATTGTTCGTGATGGCTCTTATTTTTGTACTTTTCAATTTCATGTTGTTTAAAACATCGATTGAATCCAGAGCCCTCTGCTCCATTCTCATCTGGTGCTCATACGAGCGAAAGCTTCTGCTATGTTCGATGATATTGAGAACATACATGATCTCTGCTCTTCTTACACGGTCACCTAGGGATGCAGAAGCCAGCCACGCTGCGCTGTCTATGTCCGTCAAGCCTTGTGTTTTATTTAACATAGTAATGTGCGATTGACCTGTGGCGTGCCTCCTCAGATCCGCTTTCCCGCACTGCAATTTTTTTCGGCAGACAGTACAGAAGGCCTTCAACGGGTTGCCATCGCATTTCTGCAGCCACGAAGAAAAATCGGGTTCTGTTAGCCAGGAATCGGAAAATCGTTTTGTCCGTGCCACCTTCTTCGAAGGAGGTGGGTTCATGACACTGTCGCTGCTCTCATGACCTGTTTTTCACACATTACTAATATAAATTATTGAAGTGCAATAATTTATTTCTAATGAATTTATTTTATGCATCAACTTCTCCTGTGCAACATATCTTTCTTACAGGATCATTAATTTATTGAATTATACTCTCTGCATGAATACACATAATACATAAGTATTAAAAACATATCTTACCTGATGATTCAGCCATTTCGCACTCACGAACAGTAGTAAGAACAATAACAAGAATAAATAACAATAACGAAAACAACAAAATAACGAGTAACAACAATATTGAAGAAAACAAAGAAATTGCACGTGGAAGTGTTTAAGCCTGGAATTCAAACTCAAATGAGAAACATTCAGTGCCGCGTTCATGTACGTCACACTTGGCTTGGCGCTACTATCCACGTTACCAACTTGACGAGATGTATAGCCAAAATAAGCCTACAAATCTTGAAAATCACTGCATACCCCCACCAACTATTGGTCCCCACCATGGTCGCGTCGTCTCCACTTTCCGGCCGACCGAAAAAATATGCGCACCCTGGTCTGGGGGTGCGTTTGGTGTTCAACTGTGTTTTGGCAACTGTGTGTGGTTGTGACGTGTTCTCGCTTGATTGTAGGTCTCGTACTCGTTTTGCTTCTTAGGTATTGTCTGTTTTCCGTTGTGTCCGGGTTTGTCTTTATGCTTTGGTGTTTTTATTTTCGGTTGTCGGCTGGCTTGGTGTTTTGGTTTTATGTTTCCATGCGTGTTGGCGGGTTTTTACGTTGTGTCGGGTTCTTTCTAATTCTTGGGTTTGTTAAGCGATTGTGGGTGTCTGATTTCTATCCCTGTGGAATGTTGCGGGTTCTGGCGTCAGGCTCTTCCGTCGTGTCTATAGGTCTCGGTTTTTGGGGTCTCAGGTTGGTTGGGTGGTCCGGGCTGTGGTTTTTCATTTTATGGGTATGCGCGAGTTCCTTCTTTTCGTCCCCTTTTGTCTCGGGGGCTGGTGTGTCGGTCTTTCTCGGGTAGGTTCGAGTCCGGGGTGTGTTTTTTTTTCCGGCGGGGTTTGGCAATGGGCGTGGGTGGATGCGGTTATTGGTGGACGATCTGTCCCTCTTCGCGGGCCGTGGTTTGGTGGGTCTGGGTGCTATATATGCGCGTTTTGTTTTCCACTCTTTGCGTGGTTCTTTTTTCACTTCCCATGTGGCGTCCGTGCCGTTTGGACGTGTTTGTTTTCGCTCTTTTTCTGTGTCCTGTATAGGGCATTGAGACAAAAAGTCTTTCTGTTTAACGGTTTTCCGAACATTCCAATTTGTTTAAATTCATACGTTATTTCATTTTACAATCAAATGTGAACATTTATTTTACGCAGTGAGTGGTGCAAAAGACTTTTACGAGAAGCTAATCAGGGAAGGCCGCTGCCGTAAGCGGCCTATGGCAACGAGGCGCGCCAGACTTCCTGAGCTGGCCGTTGCAATTTCCAAAGTCCGTTCGGACAAGAAATCAGCATCAAACAGTCCAGATAGTCCAGATAGGAAATCTGGACATTTTGTTAGCGAAGTGCAGTTCTCGAAGCTGAAAAATTCTCCCGAGAAAGGCTATCTCAGCGACTCTGCATTGACGCAGAAGGTGAGGGAGGTCAGTGCGGTGCCGTCGGCTCCACGAGGCGGATCCGAGGACAGAGCGGTGAGTCTAAAGTCTACTTCTAGTTTAAATTCAATTATTGCGAACTCCGAAAATAGACTCAATCTTGCTCCTTTTTCGCCGGGGCGTACGCCGGCGTCCGTGGATTCGGAAACTAATCGTAGTCGTAGTCGTAGTAATTCTCGTGGTTCGGGAATTTGTTCTAAGGTGCCTCGTCTAATTAACGTGTCAGTCGAAAGACTCGCTGGATTCAATGATACTAGTAACTATTGTATACCTGAAACGGACGTCTCGGGCCGATCGACTAATACATTTCGGCATTTAGATGTCGGAGACAGTTCGGCGAATAATAATAATACCGATATCGATAACGCGAACCTGTTAGAAGACAAGATGGCCGGCAACGGTGCTGATCGAGGCGTGCCACGTGCCGTGCCACGTATCACGTCGATCGTCAAAATGGACGCTGCTCCTGCAGTCAAGACGTCCAATCGTTTCTCAGTGCTAGCAAACATTCTTGATCAAGAAATTGCTGACAATAAAGATTCAACAATCAAACCTTCGAATAAGGCTGCCGCGTTTCCTAAGGAAAAGGCTACGACTAGTTTTCCGAAACCAGACGGCTTCGGCGATGCTCGAGGCGGGGCGCGGGTCGGGAGAGTGTCTTCCAAGATCCCGCCCGTCTATGTCACGCGGTTCTCATGCTCAGCCCACGAGTTTGAAAAAGAGATGCTTGAACTCTGTGGGGATACGTTTAAATTAAAATTATTGAGGTCCGGTATTCGGGTTACATTTAGTACTGTCGAAGCATATGAGACGTTTATCGAATTCCTGAAGGAAAAAGACTTGCAGTATTTCACATACAGTAAGAGCACCGAGCGCATTCTGAGCGCTGTCCTCCGCGGCCTGCCTGCTACCCCTGCAGAAGAAGTGGTCAGGGAGATTAAATCGCACGGCCTTGAACCCATTTCTTGCTCGGTCATCGGGAAGAATGCAAACAAGCAAGTATATCGTGTTAACTTCCCGCCTGGTACTACTCTGAATTGGTTAAATAAAATCGGTTACTTATTTAGAATTCGTGTATATTGGGACAAATTCTTTTCACAAAAAAATTACACCCAATGTTTCCGATGTCAGAAATTCGGGCATGCAGTATCGAACTGTAACGTTCAGCCCAGATGTGTCAAATGTGGCAAGGCACATCACACCTCAACTTGCACGAAACCAATTGAGGAGGCGCCGACTTGCGCCAACTGCGGTGGAAACCACACCGCTAATTATTCCGCGTGCCCGGCACTCCTAGATTACCTCGCCTTTAGGGACAGGGGTAAGATGATCAGGGATAGGGCCCCGGCCTTTACGGTTGACGACCCTGATCAATTCGGCCCTCCTTTGCCCCCTGTTAGGGTGCATCAAGGTCAAAGTACTTATGAAAGGAATAAAAAACCCTTGAGAAACGTTGCTGATTCGGGGCAATATAATTTCAACGGGCGATCCTTTGCTGATGCTGCGAGGGGTGTTCAGGCGCCTCCGCGAGAGGCCGCGGGGGACAGCGCTTTTGCTCTTTTCGACGAAATTCGTGTATTGCACTCTCTGGTCGACGTCGATCTGATGTTAGATCTCGTCAGAAATTTAAACGCGCAGCTGCGGTCGTGCCGCACCAACGCGGACAAGTTCCGTGTCTTTGTTCAAGTTATCAATCAACTTGATTAAAAATGGCTTCACCTGTTTTTCCTAAAATAGTCTTGTGGAATATCCGCTCGCTTAAGAGAAATCGAAACGAGCTGCTACTTCTCATAGCTCGTTCACAGCCGGATATTGTTCTTTTAACCGAAACTTGGCTCACGCCTAACGACGTCGAGGGCATTCCGGACTTTGTGTTGGTGCGGTGCGACCGCACCGGTGGTAAGGGTGGCGGCGTTGCCATTCTTTTGCACAGAGACATCGACTATGACAATGTAGTGCTGACTCCAATATCGGGGCTCGACGTCCTCTTTGTCAGGCTTGCGGCTCCAAGAATTTATCTTGGAGTGGTATATGTTCCTCTTGGACAGGTTGCCCTGGATCATCACGTCTTGGACGTAATCTGTGGGCAGGGTTTTCCATACCTTATCGGGGGTGATTTCAATGCAAAACACAAGCTATGGAATAATTTTATGGCTAACCCTAGGGGCAATACCATTTATAAATACTTCACAAACAATACATTTGATATTCTTTACCCGGAGGATTTCACCAGGCGCGTGGTGGGATATAGACCGTCCACACTGGATATTTTCTTTTCTACAATCGACTTAGCCTTTGACTGCTCGGCCCTTGATCCCGGGCCGTCGGACCACTCGCCGGTCGTTCTTGTAGCTGTTAAAGACAAATTTAATGTCGGCATTGATCGTAAAATCGACTGGGGGAATTATGAGAAATTCACGAACTCTTTTCAGATGTCGTCCAAATTTAATAATAAGGATGAAGTTGATTCGTGCATTGAAAGGGTCAATAACCTGCTATTCACTTCACTGAGAAGGGCCACTACCAAAATTAATACCTCATCTGAGAGACACGGTTATCTTTGTAATGATGACTACCTGGTCGCGCTGATTAGGCGTAGGCGCCGTATCAGGAAACTGACTCAGTGCATTGGCATTAATGCCTTTGACTTCATCATTGAGGATCTGAACAGGGGTATCCGTAGACAAATCTCTCACTTGAGGAACATGGAGTGGCGAAGGAAACTTGCATCTTTCAAAAAGGCTTCACCTACTTTCTGGCCAGTTTATCATTCTTTAGCTGGTAAATTTAATAGAGGAAAATTCCCAGTCTTCAGGCACGTCGGGCGAGAGGTGGTCGATGCTCGGGGCAAGGCGGAGCTGATTGCCGACCAATTCGAAATGGTTTATCGGGATGCATCTAAGCTTTATTCTCCGCACCAACCAATGGTTGATGCGTTCATTGTTAACTTGAATAAGTCAGGCAAAGAGCGGGATACCGATCTCGCACTTTTTGGTGACCTGTCCCCGCGGGAGATTCGACATCGTTTTCGGGCCCTGGGTAATAGGAAGGCACCGGGCGACGACGGGATATCATCGATGATGCTCAAGAATGCATCATTTAAAGTCGACTGTCAATTTTTCTATATTTTCAAATTTTGCCTTTTGAACGCATATTTCCCTACGGCCTGGAAGATCGCGAGGGTGTCGCCGATTCATAAAAATGGAAAGCCGAAAGAACTTGCTGCTAGTTATAGACCCATTAGCCTATTGCCTATTGTCGGAAAGGTTCTGGAATCTTTTATACATGATGCCATTATTGATCATCTGGCTAAACATCAGATCGTGATTAACGAACAATTTGGCTTTAGAAGAGCCCACTCCACGATCCAGCAGATAGCCAGGCTGGCGCAGATTATCACGAGTGGATTTAACGTAAAACACAGCACTGCTATGGTGTTGCTTGATCTGGCCAAAGCCTTTGATTCGGTTTGGCACCACGGGCTTCTCTTCAAATTACACACCCTTGGTTTCCACCAGGGTCTCATTTCGCTTCTTCATAACTATTTGCAGGATCGTACTTTTTTTGTGAGAGTCGATGGTGTCTCGTCGTCGCGCCGCGAGGTTTCTGCCGGTGTCCCACAGGGTTCCATCCTGGGGCCGGTACTCTTTAACATTTTTATTAATGACATCCCGATGGCCGAAGATGCTCGTTGCATCCTGGGGGGAGAAGGGAAGTGTTAGCTAGTTGCCTCCTCCAGGCATTTCTAGACAAGGTGCTCCAATTTTTTAATAAATGGAAATTATTGGTTAACGCCTCTAAAACTGAGGCCATTATCTTCACCAAAAACCGGTGGCCAATTGCCCCGGAATTGATTGTGGACGGATTGGAAATTCAATGGTCCAAAAGCGTCACCTATCTTGGAGTAGTCCTTGATTATACATTGAATTGGTTGCCTGCGATCAGAGATCGCATTTCAAAAACAATTAAGGTTGCTGGCTTTTTGAGGCCACATATCACTCCCTCCTCGATGCTCGCTGAAAGTGTCAGGGTTACCATCTACAAGATGTGCATTAGACCGGTACTGACATATGGAATGATGGTGTACTGGGACTGTGTCTCAAATCGACAAAAAAAAATAGTACAGAAAATACAAAATAGGGTACTGAAGACGGTCTTGGGTCTCCCGCTGGGGACTGGGACCAAGGAAGTTCATGAGAGGACTCGGGTCCCGATGTTGGAAGAACACATTAGGAGTTTCATTGATAGATTTCAATGTGCTGAGCATGAGAACCCGCTTGTTCGCGGGCTTGCCACTTACAACATTCATACGATTCCATTCAGGATCAAGTTTCCTATTCCACTAATGAATAGGTTCAGTTAATCTGATTAATAATTAATTATCATGCTTGCGTTGCATCGCATAAACTCTTGCTCTCGCCTCTCGTCGGATCCGGCGGTGCCGGGCCGGCCTTCTCTTCTCCCGCTGATGATCTGGATTTTTATTGGTTTGATGATTTCATTATTCTACTTTATTTACCTACTGGCATGTTCACTCCGGTGATGGGTTTTTCATTATCATTATTATTATGGTTCAGGTGGTGGTTGCATGCTTTGGGTTATTGGTGGTGGGTTACCTATTACTTAATTAATTTAGTCGTTAAGATTTATGAAGTGCCACATGGGAGGCGTCTACTCGTCTTATCCAGTCTCGCCCGACTGATGTTTCATGTTTTGGTGCTCATTTTCCTTTCGGTTTTTTGAAAATTTTCCGAAAATTGCTTCAGTTTATTAATTAAATAATTCTTGTTTCTGTTGCTAACAGCCCGTTACATCAGGATAGTCGGTAAGCCGGCCTCTGCCGGTAGGCACGACTTTCTGAAGCGTCGACTCGCACAACAATTCGTCAGGGGGCGCAAAACATCGTAGCGTGGTGTCGAGTCACCTTCA